TTCCTGCACAGGCAACAGGAGGTGCCTAGAAATTCATCGCAGGAAGTAACCTCCTGCAGGCGCCTCCTGACCTCACCACTGGCCCTCTTGACCTCACCCCTGGCCGGGACTCGGAGCTGGGTACTCTCCCAGCTCGGAGAGTGGCCGGTACTCGGAGCTGGGACGGTTTCCTTGCTGCCCTGCTTCTCCACCCAAATCCATTCCCCCAGATGCTCACTCATCTGGGGAGCTTGGCGAAGACGAAACTCCTCCACTGCTGTCTCTTGCTATTTGTGTTGCTTTCCCCTATTTTCAATAGTTTTCGTCTGCTGCGCCTATGGTGGTGATGGTTTCCATGGGAATAAGAGCTGCGTCTCTTCACACTCTCCACATGGTCACTTCCCCGATTAGGGACTGGGCTTTTTCATAAATTGCTTTCTCATTTGATTGTTTAAAAACCTGGTGTCAGATGGACTGAAACTATAGTAAAAGCAAGTCAAATTTATCGTGCAAAGGATTTTAAGGTTTTCTCAGTGCAAAAATGTTATATACATTTATCAAGATCTCGGGGAAAATTTAGGTGATAAGAGTATTGTATGAAATTAATAGATGGGATTGAAGGGCTCTGTCTGTTCTTAGAGACATCTTAATGGTCAAGTTGCCTTGGAGTTGTTAGCTAGTGGATAATTAAAATGTTGTCAGGATGAATTCAAGGCCAATTAGTTTGGCTGCAGATTTGCAAAAAATCCTGAATCCATGACTGCCAACAAGGGCAACTGAGATGGTTTTATTTTCATACTAAAACAGTTCAGTGTGCTGCCCCGAGTGTGAGCTTTCTAGATAACAGTAATTTGGCTTTCACTTCCAAACTGGAAGTGTGACCTAACAATACATGCACCCAATAATGGGGGCCCAGAAAAGATGACATAGACCAACTACCTGACATCTGTTTATGCTTTATTACTTTTGAAACAAATTTTGAGGCTCTTTTACCCCAATTGCGGGGCCTATGGGCTACTCAAAACTTTTAATGTAGCCGTAGTTATCTCTACTTCAAATGAATTGATTTAGGAATTCAGAAAGTTGACATTTTTCTACCAAATTGTCCATTATTTGGTCAAAGCGAGTTGCCCAGTCTGCCTCCCTGAGACCGTCCTGCTGTGTCCAGGCCTGCCATTGCCCACGCCCAGCTGCCAGTCTCAGGGCCAGGGTCATACTGGGCTGGTGCAGTCCCTGCCGCAGGCTGGCTGGCCGTGTGGTGGCCGGCGTGGCACTGTGCCATGGCCCACCAGCTCCTGGGCACAGCCCAGCATCTTTCTTCAAGTCCTTCTCTCCAAATTGACCCTTCTGCTCTCCCTCTCTTGGGTGCTTCTCCAGCCTGGGTCCTCCTGCCTGCTTGTACTTGTGTCCGGCAGTGGCAAGGGTCACCAGGCTTGGGAGCAGGGGAATCCTCCGGAGAGCAGCCATGTGCTGAAGGCTCAGCCCCAGCACATCAGAGGCAGGGAGCCTTTGGGTGGGGAGGTCATTGGGTCGTCCAAGTCACAACCTTGAAGGAGCAGCCCAGGCCCTTCCTGTGTCTCTGTCACTCAGTGATGAGGTGAGTAATTTTGGTCTGCCAAGGGCTCCTGCTGCAATTTGCTGCCTGGCGGCAGGCTCAGAACCATGGGGCCAATGGATCAGGACCGGAAGCTCCTCAGGGTGACCTTGTGAGCCAAGGATGGTTGTCTCAGGTGCTTGTTACAGCACTGTGAAGCCTGCTAAGCAGCGGGAGCTCTGTCCATGCCTTCCAGGAGCATCTCCCCACCCAGGACCACACTCAGTGATGCTTTTGGGTGGAAACTGCACTCCCCTAAAGTGTATTTGGTTAAACAAATAGGCTTTTTCTTTTTCTTTCTTTCTTTTTTTTGTTGGTACTGAGGATCAAACCCATAACCTTGTGCTTGCCAGGCAGGCACTTATGCCACTGAGCTAAATCACTGGTCCTGACTAACCTGTAGTTGCCTTTTGATTATTAAATTAATCCTGACTCCCTAGGAATATTTAAGTCCCTTTAGCATCCAAGCAAATTTTGGGGAAATATATAATAAAGCAAATAGATAAAATAAATTTCAGTGATTTCTTATACATTTTCAAACTAAGCTCTCTCAAGAAATTGGAAATATTAGTGGACGTTATATTGTGGGTAACATAGATTCCAAGACATTTGAATTAAAATATTCTACTGCTTAATGAAACATATTATTTTTGCCACAATTAACAGTTCATCTTCACTGTTAATTTACACTAACACATAACCTTTCATGCACCATTCCCTCTACATCCCCAGTCCTCCAACACGACGTTGGCTGTAAAATCTTCTCAGAGAGACTTAGCCATGCTGACCCAAATGATTAATAAACTCTGGCTTCTCTTCTCTATGGAGGTAGTGATATAGCCAGCCCTTCTTCCTAGAACATTTTCATCTTTTTTTTTAAAGGCTGCAAGACAGCATTCCGGTCCATGAGCTGTCGGCTCATGGGTTTCCTGTGGAGAGGGGGTTTCTCGGGGCCATACGAAGGTGAGGGAGCTCAGAGACACTTTCCCTTCTTAAGGCAGGCGAGCGTCAAGGTCACTGTTTGGAACCCAGGCTGTGACCTGAAAAGTGGGTCTTCTATCCACAGCCTTAGTCTATTTTCTCCTCCTCCCTGAGGATGCCTGGGCTGTTACCCAAGCGCACAGGGAAAGAACCAGGCAGCCTCAGAAATTATCACCTGTAATAGTGATGAAGTAACAGTGATGAAGTCTCACTGGCCTCCTGGCTGGGTTTGTGTTCCTTTTGGAGAAGTCGCTCAGGAGGCTGCCACAGATAGTAATCTACCTAGAGATAAGAAACACATTGTGTATCACTGCTTTCTCTCCAAACTGCAATCAATTACAATTGGGTCTACAGTTTGGCTATAATTCCCTTCCCAACTTGTCCTCCCCACAGTTCCCTGAAACACTGATGGGGATGGATTGTTCCTGGTGTGGTCACATGGGTGTGCCGTTTACCTGGTCACTTAGTTCTTCATCTCTGTTGAAGGGTGGTGACCTCCTACTCTGCCTCTCTTAGGTCAAGCATGGACAAGGTGATCAGTCAGCTCACGTGAGGTCAGTATTTGGTCATCTCAGCGGGTGACCTGCTACCTGGTTACCTGATTGCCTATTTGATCATTTGATTTGGATTTTGTTGTCAAGATAGAAAAGAAAAGCTTTGTCAGCTAGCTCATGACCTTTCGGACATGGGAGCAAGATTTTTTTGGTGTGGTTTCAACAAATGCTATGGCAGCAACCTGGGCTATGTGGGAATGTTTCCCAAGTATTCCAGGAAGGCACTGGATCCTACATAACAACCTCTCTCAAGATGGAGCATTTACCCCAGAGCCAGGTGAGAACAGCCCAGCGCCTTCACACACACAAGCACAGCCAGGTCCCGCATGGCCCATAAGGCAGGCGACCACTGCCATCCCCGCTTTACAGACAGGGAAGCTGAGACACACTGAGTGCCTGACTTCATCTAAAATGGCACAGCCGCCACCAAGTGGGGTTGGGATGTGAGCCACGGCCGGTGCCTCTTATCTCTTATGCTCATCTCAGGAGCCCGAAGTGAAGCAGTCACAGCAAGCCCCAGCTGCTTTGGGGGTCAACACCACCTGCTTTGATGCAGGAGAGTCATGTGGCCCAGCCATGGGGCCAGAGCTCCCCTGCACCCTACACGTGCAGCTATTCTTTCCTAGTCTGCATCTGAGTCACACGTCCCTTCTGTGCTGAACAGTACGGAGATACCTGGCGGGGCCGCCTTCTCGGGGTTCCACTGTGAGGTCCATCCCTGCTCGATGTAAAGCCAGAGCTCTCAGAGGGAGGCGCTGAGCACCACCGGATTTTCCCCTAGTGCCACCTGGACTAACTTCTATTGCTTGAAGGAAGGTTAAGAGCAGGGCTCATAGCACTAACTAGAAGTGTCTCGCATCCCTACTCATAAATCATGGAATTTCCCAGGCAGGGCTACACTTTGCTGTGGCAGGAATGACCATGGAGTGACTTTGTGGGATTAGCGTCCCACAGTGTGAGTTTCCTTGTCTGTTTAGGGGGTATAGAAATGCAGACCTCTGCATGTTGTGCCTCCAAATCACCACCTGACAGACATCTAATCCTTCTAATAAGTATGTGGGTACACAAACCATCCACAGTTGATGGATGATGCAGAATTCCAGCAGTTTCCAGTTATATGCCATAGGAGTAGAGACCCATTTCTTTTCTAACATGATTTCCTAACTCTTCTGGTTTGGATCATGGCAATCAGTGTGGCTTTGTTTAGGGATATGATGTCCTGAGTGCGAAGTTTACACAGTGCCCATCCATGCTTCCAATTGCAATAAAATAGGATGAGCTTCTCTCCACTCTTCACTAGACTCTCACCTCCACAGCACCAGGAGCTTTTGTTTCGGTGTTTACTGAAGTATCACAAACATCAAGTGCATTGTAGGTGCTCGAGAAATATTAATGGAACAAAGGAATTTATGAAAACACATATCCAAATTTTCAGGAATATTCAATTAGACAACTTCTACTCTGAGCCTTGAGTGGCATGAGACTGGGTTAGAAGCCAGCCGCTTCTCTCCCCTCGATGCTGGGCCAGCACATATCAGTAAGCCACATCCCGGCTGCTGGCCCAGGCTACCAACTGTGTCTGGGCCAAATTCCTGGTCTCTTTGAGATGCAAGTCCCACTTGAAAATCAGAGCTGATAGCAAAGCCACCAGGCAGGTGTGAGGAGTGGGGTCCTCAGAGCACAGGTCTGACCTGCTGGGGTCCGGCTAAGATCCAGTGAGGTCAAGTGTCCTCCCAGCTTTGCCCACGGGGAAGGAAGAGGACAGTGACCGGCCACAGGTTGTCTGGAATGGGGGCCGCTGGCTGTCTCACCACTCCAGGATGCCCAGGAAGGCTGTGCGGGAGGATGGCGAGTCCAGGGAGCTTCCCTGACAGATGGTCGGCAATGAGGAAGGAAATGGGGGTTACCTGTCTGGGCCTGGGGGATCTGTCCGTCTGGCAGGAGTGGGAGTGTGGGAACTGGAGGAAGCGCTGCGAGGCGGGTGATGACACACTCAGTGACTTTTGAATGTTATTTATAGCAGACAGCTTCAGTCATAGCAATTTCCATTGCAACTTTCCTCTGGAATGCCTTGGGCGGGGCCATGGCACTTCACTCTCCTTTCTGGAAGAGGACGGAGCCTGTTCCTGTGCTGACAGTGTGTTCTGTGGGTGCGGCGGAGTTGGATTCTGATAAGCACCCCTGTCTGGTGGCACGGGCTCCTGCAGTCTTACACAGCCAGCTGGAGAGCATTCTGGACCGGGAGGAGGACTGGCTCGGAGGTTCACCAGGCAGCCTTGCAGGTTCGCAGCAGAGCCCAGCCCAGCTGCCAGCACAGATGGGCTGTGTGGGAAACTCCTCCAGGCCAATGTGTGTGGGTGGTGGGTGTGAGGGACAGACAGAACCTCTGGGGTGATGTCCCCAGGGAGAGCTGGCGCTGCTGGCCGCTGTGACTATAGAAAGAGCGAGCGTGAGTCTGGGCAGGACACGTTCCCTTTAGGACTCCGAAGAATAGGGCGCTGGGGTGCTGGCGTTTGGTGGACCCTGTTCCAGCTGCCACTTTGGTGCCATCCAGTCGTCTGTGTGCAAAGGGTTGTTGCTTCCACTTGCGATGTATCTCAAGCCAGAGGTTTGAGGAGGAGTAAAAATGCTTTTGATTATGAATGACCAGGGGACGATGACTTGATTCTTCCATTCTGTCATCGTGCAGTAGGAATTGGCCACCACGGGGGTTTCGAGAACTGAGTCAGCAGAGGCAGCTGGGAGAGGAAGGGTCAGGCAGCCCTGTGGACACGAGAAGGTCCCAGGAGAAGGCTAGAGGACCAAGCGAAGAGAGGAGAAGGCAGGGGAGGGTCTGGGATTTCTTCCCTTGTAGCAGACTACAAGGGCACCTCTCCTGGAGTTCAGAACAACTGCTGAAATGTTAGTTAAATTAAGTCTATTTCCATGTGCTGATAGGTAGGAAGCTGGCTATGGTATTCCCTTCTCTCTTCAGTTGGCTCTAAGCAATGCAAATAAGGCCAGCTGAAGCACTGCCGTGTAATCTTTAAGGCCAACCTGACAGCCTCCTGTTTCCTGCACAGCACTCTCTGTAAAAGATAAGCTCAGAGGGATGGCAGAGCCATCAGCTCCAGGAATGTCGGCTGGGTACAAGCCTCGAGATAAAGAGACTGACTTCCCAGGGCACAAAAGTTTACATTTTGGAACCTGAAGCAACAGCCTCCTAAACCATTCAAAGGGTACCCTAACTGAGTTATGCAGATTGATCCTTGATCCACTTCCTTCTCCACAAGAAAAATGAGTTCTGGCAGAGGCCTTGGGTCAGGCCTTTGTCCACACATCCTCATGGGGATTGGGCTTAGGATCCCGTGGCTGCCCTTAAATTTGCACATGTTTTGGTGCCTTTACTCTTGCCTTGGGTTGCATTGGAGGTGGTAGATCGGAATTAACCTGCCAGGGTTCCAATAACATCTCAATGGCATTACAAATATAACTCTTTAGATTATGAGGTGAACTGGAAAAAGGATTACAATACACAGTATTTGGATTACAATGTATAATATTGGGATTTCAATATTCCCTCACAGCAGAGCCCCAGCCAACAAAGACGGGCTCAGGCCAGGCGCCAAGGTGTCCACACCTGTACCTGTCCACCAAGGACCGGGCTCCATAGGAACGGGCACCTGGTAGGTGTGGAAGGAGTAGAATACAGATCACCAGACCATCGGGACTGAGCTAGGCTGGGCGGGCAGGGCAGCTGTCCTCAGGTGGTAGTACGGACCCCTGGATGTGAGGGCAGTCCTGCTTGCAGCAGCAGTGATGAGGTCTGGACCCCAGCAGCAGGGGACTTTGCTGTCCATGTCAGGAGACTCCCAGGCTGTGGGGCGAAGCCTCCAGTTACAGCTGAGCGAGTGCCCAGTGCTGCAGCACTGGAGCTGGCAGAGGAATCAGCTCTGGCTGAGCCCTGGAGGTGGCCCCCTACGGGCTCTTATCTGGGGCTCCACTGGCACCGAGTCCCCCCAGTAGAGGATACAGGCGGTCTGCTCAGGGACACACAGCATTGCAAAGGATGTGGAGAGTTTGAAAGCTGCAAGGGGTTTGAAAGACCATGGAGCCGACCTCCTGGGCAGACAGGGAGCCCAGCCTGGGAGGAGATTTCTGACCCGATGGGTGAGTCCAGGGTGCTTTCTCCGTCCTATGTTTCGTTTTGTGCCCCAAGAGACTCCCCTCCCCTCCAGAGCCCCTGGAGGCTCTGCTGGTCGCATCGCCATCTCTGATACACCCAATGATTCCTGGCCACTTGGTCTCACACAGGGAACGAAGAGGAGAGTCTGTCCTGTTAGGCGGGGTCTTAAGAAGGGAGCGCTCTGGAAGCTCCTGCTCCGGGTGCCCTCCTGGGAGCATCGTAATCAGCTTCCTTCTCTCAGGGTCTCGTCTTCCAAACTCCACCTTGGGAGCTGCAGCCGTACTTCTCTAACACTGCTTCTGCCCAGGCCTGGCCTGGGTGGAGTGGGTCCTGGGGGGCTGGCTCTCCAGGCAGGGACGCGGCCTGGACAGGAAGGGCCTTCCCCTCTGAATTTACAGTGCCACAGTGGAACGGTCACCAGGTGAGCTCTTTGAAATGGGGGACCCACGCCTAGAAGGAAAACTCAGCCATGTCAGCTAGTGCCTGCAGGGCACACTGGCTGGACACCAAGTGGACACGTTCTCATCACCAAAAGGAGAAACTCTTCCAATACACATCTCCAAAACCGGGCGTGGTGGCCCATGCCTGGAATCATAGCACTCTGGAGGCTGAGGCAGGAGGATTATTGCAAGATGGAGACCAGTCTGGGTTACAAAGTGAGTTCAAGGCCAGCATGAAACACATACTGTCTGCAAAAGAAAAAAAGCAAGCAAGCCAGTTCCGGCGGGGATTCTGAGACAGCCTCAATAACCAACCAACTGCTTGTGAAGAGCAGGCGCATCCCCTGCCCAGCAGGGACTTCTCTGAGCCTCGGTCTGGAATTCCTACTCTGCACCCACTCTGTGCCCAAGCCCCACTTCCACCATGAACAGCATGGGCCAGAAATGGCTCAGGGAAGCTGGGAGGCAGGCAAGGCAAGCTCTGGAAGCCCAGTCACAAAGGGCTGCTGCTCCCAGGGTTGTCACCATCCCCCAAGACCCCAGGACACTGGGCACAGGTCAGCCCTGGCCCTGCTAGCCGATGGGCCTTTCTGTGGGAACAGTCTCAGTTCAGAACTGATGCTGCTGTGAGCTGCAGGAATGAAAGATAACCATGCAGGGCACTGGGCCCTCGGGCCAGGGCCTCTGCCAGGTGCAGACTGGCCTGACGGGGCACCAGGAACGGGTCGAGGCTGGTCAGTGTTCCCCACCCTGCTGGGAGTGCTGAGTCCCAGGACAGTGTCCCACGGTGTCCTGTTCAGGCTGGGCTGTCACCTGACTGGACTCAGGTGAGTCATGCCTGGGCTTGGCACCCAGGTCTCACACCTGTCCTGAGTGGCCCTGTCCCTTCCTGTGACTGCCTGTCATCCTGCTCTCCCCTAGGTGGCCGCACTCAGGTGATCACGGTTGTACATTGTGCACTGTGGTCTCCATGGTTTCTGTTTGATATGAGGTGATGTTGCTGGAGGCACAGAACTTTCTCTGGCTCTGGCTGCAGCCTGTTCCCCTCTCGTCCCACGTGGTCTGCAGTGCGGCCAGCGCCAAGGCAGCCAGTCCCCTTTCCTGGACGTGATTTCCAGGTGATCACAGCATAGGGTCAGGGCAGAGAGAGACGGTGGGTGTGAGGACAGGGTGTGGGTGTCCATAGCCAGCCCTGGGGACAGGTACAGCCCTGGAGCCCAGGACACGCGTTGAGGACGGCTGAGAGGAGTTTCGGGGCTTCCTCTTTCCAGAGTTCCGGTGGTGCACACAGAACTCCTGGACTATCTGTCCCCCTCTGCGTGGCCCTGGACATAGTCACCATTTTCTGCAGCTCTGGGGCCTGGCTCCCTCTGACATGGACACTGTGTCCTCAGTCACACGTGTTTGTGTCCTGACTCTGGCTTGGGGTTGTGGGCATTCCGCATGTGAGCTGCTAGGACAGTGAGGGCTGGACCGTGAGGGGAAGAAGGCCAGTGGGGTGTGTGCTGCGGGGCCCGCCTGGGTTCTGAACCTCAGTGGGAAAAGGATCAGCAGGAACAAGGTGCAGGAGGAGCGGCGTCCCTCTGCGGCTCACATGGAGTGGAAGGCCTCACCGTCACGGCATCAGCTGCACACAAGCTCTGCCTAATTAGACTCTCACTGCCCACCCACAGCCTCCATGCCCACCAGGATGCCCGAGTGGCCAGTCGAAGTCGGTGGCACACCCGGAACTCGTTGTGTTTCTGTTGTCCCATCCCTTATCTGCCTTCCCAGGCCCAGCCTCCTAAAGGCCACTCTCCTTAAGTTCTTGCATGGAGGCTTCTTCATCTTTGAAGTCACCTCTGACTTGTGGGGGAGACTAACGTACCCCCTTTCCCATGTTCTTACTGTAGTGTGGTCACAGATGCATTTTGTTTTCTTAATTTGGTGCTATCATGGTGGGGTGGAGGCCTCTGGGAAGAGGGGCGAGATTTTCATCTCCAGGACTCAGCTTTCAGCACTGTGCTTAGCATGTAACAGGTGCTCAATAAACACTTTAAATGGAATGAATGCATGAATGTATGAATGAATGTATAAATGAATGTGTGAAAGATGCGTGAACAAGTGACAAACCAATCCCGAAACCAAAAAACAAAATCTGAACCCTTTCCTCTGCTTTTGAACTTTCCTCTTAGTGTGTGTCGCTCATCAACGTGAAGACAACTTTTAACGCCCATCAGTATGACAGGTGGCAGAACCCCTGAATCAGAACGGAAGCCCTTGGTTGAGATGAGGATGCCCTGGTTCACGTCTGGCTTCTGCGGTTTCTCATCCTCGCAACAGTGACTCTACAAACTGAAGTCCTCTGTATACTCCTCCTCCTTTCTGTGCGCCCAACACCTATTTCGCAGACACTTCTAGAACATGCCCAGCGTCCTCGGTTTGTGTTAGGTGGACCTCACTGCACGTGTCCGAGGCTCGCTGCGAAGAGGGAGTAATGCATTCTACAGGAAGCAGTTAACTGGCACACAGAGATGGCTTGGCCAGTGGCCACTGATTCCTATTGTTTTGGGGTTTTATTTTACTCCTTGAAATGATCGTTCTTAACATTTTTAATGTCAAATGCCCCTTCAGGGTCCCCATGCATAGACACAAACTTTAAAAAGTGATTTCAAGAGAAACCTAAAATACGAATAAAGAGCAAACTAAAAGATAACAGGAAGAGGCAGGTAGATCTTAAGGGAAGAGGATCAAGGGATAGGATGTGTGGTGTGCTGGTTCCAACTCCCCACGGGGAAAGGGAGCATTTTATGTAGTATGAATGTGTGCTCAAAAAAAGATTTTAAAAAGAATTTCCAAGGAGCTTCCAAGGCAGCTCATGGAATCTGCGTTCTAACTGATTGTACCAGAATAGAAGAAGCAAGAAAGATACACTACTGGAACTGTATTTCTCTTTTTAAAAAAAGGCAGAGATGTGAACTGCAGTTTTAGTCGCCCATAACTGAGTAAAGGACCGCAGATGCCCCGAGCACCTTATATCTCTGGTAAAACGCCATCATATGTGGGTAACAGGAAGAAGAAACTGTTGATAGATCTGTAAAAATCAACCTAAGGAGTCATCCTACTTTACGGAGGACCCCATATGCCCAGCAGGGTACCCTGTCCAATCAGCCATTCATGGATTTCAAGATGGCCAAAGCCAATGGGAATTCTTTAGCTGGGCGTCACCTAAACTGGCCAATCAGATCATTCAGTATAGGAAGTTTTAAATTTAAGTGAAAAGGACTGGGGTATTTCTTACTTAAGACAGAGAGGAAATAGCATGTTGTTCAGTAAGTGTGTGCCTGAGAGACAGCACAAGTGTTAAGGACTCCAGCGCTGGGCCCTGTGGCGGTCCCCTCCGCAGCACAGAGAGAGGCTGGGGACGCCTCTCAACAGCGACAACTCAGCGCCCAGCCCTAATCAAGGCTTGCATTGGGAGGAGAACTTAGCTCAGTAGGGGAACACGGAGGTTGTCTTTGTGAATAAATCAATCTCTTAAAACAGTGCCCCCAGGCTCTCTTGATTTGGGAGACTGCGGTGAAAAACACGTAAAAAGCGCGGAGTTTGCTTATCTTAGCAAACGTCCAGCAATTCCCATGTTTTTAGCATTTCAATTTTCAATAACAAAGCTCAGCCATAGGATGTTGAGTTAATTCATAATGAACTTAATTTTTCTTTTCTGATTAGGGGAAGATAAAAACCCTACTTGAACCAACCCTCATTGGGACTGGAATTTTTTAATCAAGCAGAAAATTTTTCTTGAAGGAATTGGCTCCCATATTTGCCCGAATATAGTACTTTTTTTTTTGGTGCAAATTTCACAGCTATAAAAGAATGTCAGAGTTGGGACAATCAAACATCGTTGTAACATTTGACAGTGACAAATTAGATGTTCAGCTCCCTGTCGGTTGTCCGCTGCGTGGCGGAGCCTGCTTACTGCCCCCATTATCCATTCTGTCATTCTTGTGTTGTAAGACATCCCCCCGCCCAGGTTTGACAGGGTGCATGGCTGACCACCAAAAGACTACATCTCCCAGCTCCTTGTGGCTCTGTGTTGTCACGTGGCCAAGTCCCATCAATGAGACAAGAGCAGAAACCATCTGGACAGCGTCCCTGTTGGATGACATGCTGAAAGGAAATGAGAGAGAAGGCCTTATTGCTCTTATTTTCATTCCCAGCATTAGAACGAAGATGAGATAGTAACCCAGTTTTCAGCCTGAGGACCAGAGCTATTACACATTAAATAATTTATTACACCACTGCTCTATAGTGAGTTATCGCAGTTTAAGGCACCCACATTTCCTTTCTCCTGGGGCATGTAGGCCGGGGTCCTGCTCTGCGGCTCCCTGCGGGCTTCAGAGTTAATCACCTCAGGCTTCGCTGGCAAGGACCTTCCTCACATCTGCGTGGTGGGTGGCAATGTGGGGGCCATGTGGACATCCGGCTGGAGTCCTGGTCTTCCACTTCCTGGAGAGGGCAGAGCCAGAGGGCAGAAGTAACCAGGATCCCAGATCCCTTGGAGAGACGCAGCCGCTGCTCTGTCCTAGACTGTTTGCCCAAACACTAGTCTGAGAATGAGAGAAAACTGCACTTATCCCTGACTGTCTGTGTTCTGATCCATTGTGGTCCGGGTGCCCTCTAAGACAGTCCCCCATGACCCTGTCGCCTTGAACCTTTCTTTCTCCCCTCATTCTAAACCTGGCCTCACCAACAGACTGTCTTTCAAAGATACAGCAAAGATGGGATGTCACCTCCATGATGGAGTTCAGAAGATTAGAACGTGCCCCTGCTAACAGACTCGCTCCTTCCCAGGCTTTGATCACACACCGCATAACATTGGAGGGGTCCACATGGTGTGGAAAGAAAGGGGAGCTCTGCTCTCTGGCCAGCAGGAAACCGACCCCTTAGCCATCCACAAGGACCGCAGTGCTATCAGCCACCTTCCCAGGCCAGCCTCACGGTGACTACATCCAGCTCACTTTTCCTTTCCTGGCGCTGTGTACCAATGCCAGGGCTTCGTGAACACAGAGCACTGGCTGTCCAGCCCCGTGTGCACCGTGACTTAGCCTGGCCCGAGATGCAGGGCCAGCTAAGCAGTGAGATTTTGACACAGTTTATTATACAGCAATAGGTAACGATGTCACGGAGCCGTCCCTTTTTTCCTGTGTGATTTGTGTGCTGAAGGCAGAAAGGGCATGTTAAATAGCAGAGAAAGAGCTGGGGTCGCAACTAACGTGAGACCTTGCAGGGCACCTGTTCCAGTGGTCCGTAGACTTGATTTATTAGCAAGCCCAGAGTTGCTGCAGCTCAGGGGAGCGTAACTGGCTGAACTCCCCGAAGAGCTCTAACTAAATCAGAACGCTAATTTGTTAATTGACAAATTGATAAATAAAACTGCCAAGTGGAGTCGACAAATTAGATCTTTCTACATTAGAGTTTCTCAGACTCCTTTCCACGCTGCCTCCTTTCCTCCTTCTAGTCTCTCCCCAGAAAATCTCAAATTAACCCATCACGAATTCCTCACTCAGCTAGGATTCTGTGAGTGCAGCTGCTGTTCCTCTCGATGCGTGGGGAGCATTGATGAGCCCCTGCTTGCTGCCGCCGTGGCCTGGCCTTGATCAGATTTCCAGGTGAACCTGCTTAGCCCCGAGCCACCTGGCCCAGGTGAGCATGGATCTTTCCTCTGGACATCTCTTTGCAGCTCAGTCTCGCTCAGGTGTGAGATGACTTCTCATCTGTGTTCTCTGCAAGTCGGGGGTCAACGCTTTAACTGGACTTTACTCGCCAGTGCCACGGTCTCCAGCACCTCTGTGTCTGTGCCTGTCCTGGCTTGTCCTTGGCTCCCCTACCCACAGGGACAGGCTCTGCCTACAGGCGGTGCCTCACCCGACTGCCCTAGGCCCCTCTTCCTGCATCCTCAGCTCCAGACAGGCGTGAGCCTCAGCTGCACTCTGGTGTCACTTGATTTCTTCCCTCGGGACCTCGCAGCAGGACACCTGTCGAAAGCTGCCTGACACTCGGCAGGAAGCCGCTGCCACAAATGCAACTCAGCCCTCCGAGGGGAGGAGGCTGGAGGAGTTCAGGTGTTCAGTCAGTGTGGCTTTTCAGGAGCACCTGAAATCGGGACAGAACTGTTGATTCTCCACAGTGATCACTCAAGGTGCTCTGGTCCCTAACTCTTCCCTAGCCCTGCCGCCCCCTCCATCGCCCACTCCTAACCCCTGGGAGAAGAAGGCAAAGTCCCCGAATAGCAAGGGCACCACTTGCTCAGGCTTTGCTTTCCGGGAGAGGCCAGGCTGAGGTTTCCCTCAGAAGTCCCTCTCCCCTAGGCTGCCTGTCTCTGACGCTGCCACTTCCTGATGCCCCTGTCTCCGCCTTCGGAGTCCTTGGATTCTGCCACTTCCCTCCGGCGCTCCACTTGCCTTTGTCCTACGAAGCAGATGTGAGGACCCAGCCACCACCTGAGCAGCACAGGTGGCCTTGGTCTCCTCTACTTAAGTGGCCTCCACAACCCTTCAGCCACTAGAAATCCACATGACGTTGTACGGCTCCACTTCTGAGACCGCAGCCACCAAGTCCTCTCCTCACACTTCCCTCCTGTGTCCTCTCTCCGCATCCTTACCCCACACTCTGACATGTCACCGGGACAGATCTCTGTTGCTCTGACCGCTCTGTGGGTTTCCTCTGATTCTTCACTCTGCTCTCCATGTATCAGAGGCCCCGTGGTTCATTATTCGGAGCGCTGTAGGACTGTCCTTTGTCTTCCATCGCCTGTATATTTTGCCTTCTGAAATTTATTTATCGTATCCCCCAAAGATTCCAGTCTTAACAGAGTAGATGAACCTGTGGGAAAGCATCCACATGGGCAGAAAGGCGAGGGGCACCAAACGCAGCCGGGCACCCAGCCCTGTCTGACCACGAGCCCTGCGTCAGCGCACGCACATCCACACTACCCGAGCAGCGCCAATTTGGTGAGAGCTACTTTCTCACCAAGTAGCTGCAGGATATAGCTATGAGTAGTTATTCAGTCAATTACTTATTACCATTGTCTCCAAAATCATAATATTCAGATCCAGGAAAAGGATTTCAAATTCAGTTTTTAATGTAGGTACATGTCTTATTATTTTGAAGATTAGCCAAGAAAATCTCAGGAAAAGTTCTTAAATTAAGACTTACTTCATTCAGTCAAAAGCTATATTTTGTAAGACTTTTTAGTTTTTTTGGATTGACAGCAATTACACAGGCTGCCTGTACTCTCTTTTTTTCCTCTGCACTTGCTCTCTAAACCCCTTCCTGCCCACTTCTCGCACCTGGGTAGGAGAACTGTGGGAGCTTGTCCTTCTCTCCCATGCCCTCCCCGGCCATGGGAGCACGTTCTCTTGTGTAATTGCATCTCACCCACAGACCGCAGACTGCCTGTGGGCATGGCCTGGTCCCCTCCTTTCTTCCTGAGGCCCAGCATGCAGACAGTGGGTGGCTCCTAGGGGTGTACACTTAGTGGTGAACAAACCCTCAGCGTCCTACCTAGTATGACTTCTCCTTGGAACTGACCGCTGTGCCCAGGTTTTGCCTGCAGCTTCCTAGCTAATTTAGATGCACACAGGCCACTCCCAGCCATATGTCTGACTGCAAAATTTCCTAAGAGCTTTGGACATCAAAGCCTCTTTCCAATGAAAAAGCACTGCCAGCAGTGACAGGAGCTCCAGAGGAGGAACAGGGACCTGGTTTATGCCAGAAAAGAAATAAAACAACCTCTGCTGTCAGTGAATGAAATGTGGTCAGTTTTCTTTTTCTGAACATTACACAGTGGTGAAAACATTTATGCATCATGCTGCAGGGATTTCTAGGGAGAGATTGTGGTTGGCCACGAGGGTGGGGGGCTTGGGCGGGTGAGGCAGCTCTGGAGGCTGGGAGGTGAAAGAGGGACAGGAGAGGGAGGAACAGAGCGTGGACCTGGCAGCTGGGACCCCGGGCGGTGTCTCGGGAAAGCACTGAAGCCATCCCTGCAGTGTCTACCATGGTGTTGTCCACGCCTGCCCCGAGAGGTGGATTTTCAGTCATGGAGCCTGGGGGAAGAGCTGTCAGAATTAGCACAGGACAAGAACAAAAAGAGAGAATAGAAGAACACATGGAAACAAAGCTTTTGTGAATAAGGAGGGAAGGAGGGGTTGAAGGGATGGGTGGAGAAGGTTATCAAAGAAGAAACAAGATATACGATGCATAGGTATAATACACACGCAAAGCAATTCGAAACGTTTCATATCAGAGGGGAAGAAAGAGCCCAGTCTCTGGTTTGCAAAAGCTTGGCATTTGTGACTTAGCCCAGAATGATCCATTGTTTCGTCTCAGCCATACAACGCCCAGGCTCCCGTCAGGAAAGAAATCTTTTAACCTTCACGCTGATGAAGGGTATTTGATCAACTTCTGCTTATTTGATTGTGCCACAGTTTGACAATCTTTTTTCTAAACTTGAAAGCATCCTTCTTTGAGTCACAGATCTGTGGA